TCTCCGACTCAGATCTACAATTTCATGGTTTATGATTGTCATTTTCCGTAATCCACCGTAGTCATCTGTCAGACATTGCGTGTGTTCTGCTGTGTTCTACACGAATCGATCCGGCAAGCCGGAAAGAAGGTATAACAAGCAAGTGTCGCATTATAATACGTAAAGAAAATCTCCAACGACATGAGACTTCCATGAATGATACCGTCTTCTCTCTCATATTTACGCTCACCACTTTCGGACTGTCTCTCTCTTTTTTTGGTATCCTTGTGAACACAGCAGACAGCTAGTTGTCAATAATGCAAAGTGTAATAAATTCAGTAAAAGGCACGGCGTTGGGCGTCGCTGAATACTTGACGCCAGTACTGAAGGTAAGTTTTATCCATTTTTATCTCCTTTGTTTTGCTCGCCGGAAATCGAATACTCGTCGGAGATTAGATATTTGGTTAGGATGTCGTCAACAGCAAAAGGGGGGGATATACACGGTGTGTAGTAAATCTTGATGTAATCGACACAAAGAAGTTCTTTATTTAAAGAACATATAAAGAATAATTTGTTTCTTTAAAAAAAACAAAGTTGAAATATAGAATAAATCTTTGACGAATCTATGATGAAAAACTACACAGTTGCAATAAAAAAATTATTTTATACTTTTTCCTTGTTTCTTTATATGAAATTGTATTCCAACTAATTGTACGATTTACTGGATCTGTTATGCATTGATTGAAATAAATTACTATTTTAAGGAAAGCAAGTTCCGAGAAACAGGTGTTTTGACACCAGAAGAATTTGTAGCCGCTGGAGATCATTTGGTGCATCATTGTCCCACGTGGCAGTGGGCTACTGGTGACGAGGATAGAGCAAAGTCTTACTTACCAAAAGGCAAACAGTTTCTGCTAACTCGCAATGTTCCCTGCACACGACGATGCAAGCAGGTAGTGTTGGCTGAAAATAGTAACATCAACTCTTTTCATTTTTGTTTGTACACAATTTAACATGCATTTGTAGATGGAGTATAGCAACGAACAGGAATGCATTATAGAAGCAGATGATCCCGAAGGTGGTTGGGTGGATACTCATCATTATGCCACCAGTCTAGCTGGCTTGGATGAAAGAGTAACAGAAATGGCGTTGGAGGAGACATCGGAAGCTCCAGCCCAAACTGAAGATAATGCAGATGAAGATGAGGATGATGAGGACGCTGCCGACATGGAAGCTTTTGAAATTAGTGGAATGCTAGATGATCAGGATAAGGTAGCAGACAAACTTGTGAAAAAAATAACTTTCTGAATCGAGAATTGTGGAATTTTTGCTACATTTTGCTTTGTTGCAGCACGCGACAACAGAAAGTACAAAGAAAAGTAGCCAAGAGAAACGGAACTCATTTACGGAGGGAGAAATTATTCACACTCGCACCTACGACTTGTACATTACATACGATAAATACTATCAAACGCCTAGATTATGGTTATTTGGATACAATGAGGTTAAAATTTTACTTACCTTTTCCAAATTTGTAAGCTCTTCAATTGTTCCATCACTGGACTAATTATGCTATTTATTTGGTTCAATTAGAACCGAAAGCCACTTAGCGTAGAAGAAATGTATGAAGACGTCAGTCAAGATCACGCGAAGAAGACAGTTACGATGGAAACTCACCCGCACTTGCCCGGTCCTCCTATGGCTTCTGTTCATCCCTGCAGGTGAAAAGAAATCGATTTAAATTTGTCGAATTTATGAATTCATAAATTTAACAGTTTATTATTTGCGCAGGCATGCCGAAGTAATGAAGAAGATTATGGAGACAGTAATGGAGGGCGGCGGAGAATTGGGAGTGCATATGTACCTTATAATATTTCTCAAGTTTGTTCAGTCTGTCATACCGACGATCGAATATGACTACACGCAAAACTTTATGCTAAACGCAATCGGCTAAATGTATTGTTATGATTAAATAACTAGCATTCTATTGTAATTAATATAAATTGCTTACAAATTGTATTCAATGGATATGCGGGATATTTGTGTATCGATGTTTACTACGCTTTTCATCATCACGTATGTGCGAAAATATGAAAATCGTGAGGATATTCGATATCGCGTAAGGATCCAAGAATGTACAATTATATGTATTATGAATTTGAGAATCTAGAAAGCACGGTATCTAAGGGAATCTAGCGTCGAATGTGAGCATTCAGTTCAGAGAGTTTAAATGATATTAAATCGCCCGGATTTCAAGCGTTTCGCATTTTAAAATCCATTTATATACTCATCCTAATTAATTTTAAGTAAAATGTACCTCCACAGCAAGTGCACATTACAACACGTTTTTTACATTGCGATATAATTGAGTTAAGTTGATATTATTTGACGTGATACGGACGTCAAGACAATAAGTGAAAAATAAAGGCTATGTTGAAAGCAACGAAAAATCTCACAAAAATACGAAAGTAATTTCCTACAATTAATTAAGCTAATTATCTGCTAGCTTATTTATTTACAAAAAGAAGCTGAAATATTTATCAAAATCGATTATAGTTATTTATTAGGAAAATAAATGTAAATATTCCGAATTACCTGTGTGTGATCAATTTATTTGCAGAATTATGTATATAATCGAATAACGACACGATAAATTAAGACTGTACACTTAATCTTGAAACTGAAGAAATTAATAGAAAAAATTATAGAACTAATTAAAAAAAAAAACTGCGAACGCTACTGAAGACCGGGTGTAGTATTGCTCGAAGTATAGCCAAGTACACGGTTCTGCGATTATGGTGCCACATTTTTCAGTCAACCCATTTCCTTTATTTTCTTTCTCACACGTCGGAAATACACATAATTACTTGCCGTTATACTGATAATTCGTAACACCCCCATAAATTTACTGACATATAAATTAACATAAGCGCGATTAGATGAATTGCTCGTTTGATAAAATAAACAGGCTCTACACGGCACGATATCGTCCACATTATTTTACGAGCAATTAGATAAAAGAAACTACTTACTGACTCATGTCTTAATGTCTCCCACCTTCTCAAATATTACTTTCTTACGTCTACAAATTGTTGCTCTAACGCAATAATAAAATAACGAAATTTTACAATATCTCCAAATCTCGCTTTTTAAATAGTTTGCCAGTATGTTCAAATCTCGCTATTGAAATAATGACTTTGTATTATTTTTGAGTTTATTTATGTATATAATATTTTGCAACATTTACAAATCTCACTGTTTACAATTTTCACGAAATTACAATGTTGCTTTAGAGTATGTACACAGGATTCATTTATGATAAAAGAGATAAGTGGTCCGACAATTTTTATAATATTAAGAGGCAATTAGTGCTCGCTGATAACGCAATCGCTATTGCTCGTGTTGTACACTATATAAGTACGGAAAAAATATTGTGCTGTCAGTAAAATCGCAAAACAGTTTGCAACATTTGCTTTTCTCAGCTCGTCGAAACAATAAAAGCCGAGTAATTTTAACAATCTATTACTACAAAGTAATCAGACTAGAGACACTGTTGCAATTATCATTGTACTATTTCCTTTTTCTGATCTTGGTTTGTATACTTGCTCATTTGATAATAATTATTTAATCGCGTACTTTCTATCGCCTTCCCGAGCGTATTTGCGAGTCTTCTTCGCGCATTTAACTCTCCGTCAAAGAGGGTGATCGTATCTTCGTTACTTGCTGTACATTACTCTTTTGTACACACACTGCCCAGGCGATATTAGATAACTGCATGTTCCATAAATTTAAAACCGTATATATTAACAACACTTAACTTCTTATATTGCGCAGCAAAATCTGAAATTTAAACTGTCCGGAAATTCTTTTCGTTAAGTAAAACGTATTTTCACGATGATCCACGTTTCTCAGCGATTTATTTTCGCCGTTATAATATATGCAGCTGCAACCAGTAAGTATTGATAAATTTATATTCTAGTTTGTATGATAAAACCTAAACTTCATTTGTTGAATATATCATACACTGTATTGATACTTTAACAATTTCGAAGATTTTAGTTAAGAATTTTAAGATTAAATTGTATTAGAACAATGTATTTTATTGTATATATAAATTAATATACAGTTTTAATATAATATAAAAGTAGATATATCTAATAAATATAATAACATAAACACACACACACACAATGTTCAACATAAGAGCGAAGAAAATTAGCTAAATATTGTATAATGTTTTACAGGCGCAGAACCTGTTGAAGATAATATCACAGACAGCATTTTTCTGCGTCTTTATGCCGGGTATTTATTTTTACATCTTGTATCACTCTTATCACTTATATTGTTTGAAATCAATTTTTATTCCGACTAGAGATAAAAAAAACATTCATATTCTTAGAACAATATCTCTTTCGACGCGAGATAAAATACATTTCCAATAAATTATTTTTGTATTGATCTTGACATTGTGTCTCATTTAGATCTCTAGATGAATATATTGATTATTCACTGGAAAATGATACAATCCTATCTAAGCTAATCGACGGCAAACCAACAGTGCTATATATTCATGGCTTTATGGAACATTTAGAGAAAGAGAGCGTCAGAACGGTGATACAAGGTATATATTCCGAGAAGAATACAACGAGAATAGTATTCATGCTCTATCAAAAATATTAAAATTACTTTTATCTTTTCAGCTTACTTGAAGCGGAACGATCATAACGTCATCGGGATAGATTATGGCAAAGTGGCGAATGACACATACCCTAATGTAGTAAAAAACGCTTTTAACGTTGGAACTGCTCTCGCGGAAACCCTTGACAAACTGGTAGCGTTGGGCTTTGACGCAAGAAAATTGCACGTTGTCGGACACTCCATGGGTGCCCAAATCGCCGGCATCGTCGGTAGAGAAGTAAGCTTTAGGATTCCTAGAATTACAGGTAAAAGTCCAGAGTTTTGACTGATAAATTTGTTTTGATTTGTTTCGCTTGCGTATCGCTGCATAATACTGAAATATCTTCTCAATAATAAAATTTTGAGATATTTTAATAATTTACACAAATTAATACACAAAATATTTGAAATTATTTTTAATAATAGTAAATGTTGATACTAAATAAAATAATAATAATTTGATTATGTTGAAATCATATCTCTGTTAAAGAAATAAAACTTGAATTTGCAATATTTCTAAATCTTACTCTTAGGAAAATTTACTTTAAACTGGCCTAAAGTTTATTAAAGTTTTTTTAGTAACTTTAAAAATTTGAAAAGTTCTTTTAAGTAATTATAAAATTTTTAAATTTTGTTTAAGTTATTTCAGAGTTTTAAAAATATTCTTGAGTTTTTGCTTCTTTAGTTATTGAAGACATAAAGTTCATAAAAAGTTATTTAAAAGTTTTTGCAGAGTAAATCCTATTTTAAAGCGTTCAAATTTACTCTTCAAAACTTTTAAAAAGTTCTATAGTAAACCAAAAAGTTTTCTTAAGTCATTTTTTTTAATTTTTAAAAAGTAAATTTTCCTAAGGGTTGCTTTTTAAGGATCAGAGTTCTGTAATTAATTTTCTGAAATAGAACAGCCGTATGTTGCAAAATATTTGCAAAATATTCCTTTGTACAGGTTTGGATCCCGCCGGCCCTCTTTTCAACATTCTCATGCCTCGCCTTTCGTCTTCCGACGCCAGTATGGTGGATATTATACACACGGATTACGGCTTTTACGGTATTGGCAGGAGCACAGGCACAGTGGACTTTTTCCCAAACAACGGTGTCCGTGTACAACCCGGCTGTCCGTTAAATACTACTTTTTACAGCGACGAAGGTATATTCTCTCTCAGAATTTTGATAAAAATAAATTGTGCCTTATACATCTCGATTGTTGTTTGTCATGACAGATTTCTGCAGCCATCATCGATCCTGGAGATACTACGCCGAATCCTTGACCGACGAATCGGCCTTCTTGGGCGTGCAATGCCCTTCACCGTTCAGCTTTATATCCGGCGGATGCAATAATAATACGCTGATCGCCATGGGCTATGGCACTCCAATTACAGCGTTAGTGAAACAATCTCGAGTTTTAAAAAAATACCTTGAAACAAAATTATTATTTTATACAATTAAATTCTGGAATGGCGGAATACTTATTCTTCTTTTCATTTCTTGCAGGAAAGGAAGTGTTTATTTGGTGACAAGCCACCAGAGTCCTTTCGCGTTGGAGAAAGGACATATTAACATCATTTTACCATCGTTTTGAATTCAACCGTAATTACATAAAATAACATTACAGAAAAAAAATATGATCTCTAATAGCGAACTGGTATAAAAAAGAAAAATGCATTTCAGCCTCTGCGACGTGCGTACACCATATTACATACATTAAGAATTAAACGCAACGTCTTATTTTATTTCTTGTAACACACACAGCATAAATAATCGCTCGTATTATTTCCGCATATCGAGTCCTCTTCCCTTCCATGAAATAGCGATCTCCATTAGTTTAATTTCTATTTAGATGTCATATAATTAACGATTGTGTATTATCGCAATGCTTGATATTTTTAAACTTGAATTTTAAACTTGATATTTGTAAACTTGAATTTTTTCGCACAAAATAATATAATATAATTTTAAATTTGTGAAATATTTAAAGTATAAATATGAAAATATTCCAGCATTCATACACTAACCCGCGTGTATCGATTGCGATAAAATAAAAGCTAGCATTAGGTACATTAACATTCATTTTTAATAACCGCAGTTTTTCTAATAATATGAGACAGTTCTTGTTGCAAATAGAAAAACTTATGCTCTAAATTATTTATCATAATGGAACCCGAGGCAGTTCTCCGTGCGAGAGAATGAGAAAATAATGTAGTATGAAATAGTGATGCGAGGAAACGGAGACTGTAATAGAATATCATCTTTGAAGAAAATTGTTTTGCAAGAAGTGTTTTCACTGAAACCTTATTTAAAGACTTTCCTTCAGACATTTTATTTTAAAAATGATGCACACTCTTCCCTTATCGTTCGCGCTATTGACATACACTGGATATTGGCGACCCGTCGATTGGCCCTCGGCATCTATCAAGTATCGGATGTACGTCGTTTATACCGTCACGATGATCTTTCTGCTTCACTCGTTCGCTTTTTGTGGTATAGTTGATTGCTTCATGATTAAAGATCTCGAGACCTTTATCGAGAAATTCTCGCTGTTCATATCGGTGGCTGGTGTTTGCTGCAAAGTGATGAATTTGGTGCTACGTCGTGACAAGATCATAGGTCTCACCGACATGCTGCTGAAGGACATGTGTGTCCCCAAAGACAATCACGAAGCGGACATCCAGCGACGATTCGATCGGAGCGCCAAGTGTGTGAATTTTTATTTTGTAAAATACATTTTGAATTCTACGTGATTATCTTTGAAATTTATGCAAAACAAAAATCTGACAACCCGAGAATTGATAAAATTAAGTGTAAGTAAATCATAGTTTTTTCTTTAAATATTCGCAGTATTTCATAAAGTGTCTTTTTTTTTTCTTTAAGGACAATTACAATCTACTGTGAGATACTGAACGAATCGGCCGTTTTCTTCGCAACAGTCGCCCAGCTCCGGCACTTCGTTAACACCCGGACGCTGCCGCTTTCCGATTGGGTGCCATACGATATCTCATCAACTCCCGTTTACTGGGCTACTGTGTTGCATCAGACAATCGGGTTGATGGTCTGCGCGAACGCCAGCGTTGCCCACGAGACTCTCATTTCTGGTTTTATGATTCAGGCCTGTGCCCAGCTGGACATACTTTGTCATCGCGCTCGCACACTTCCGGAGTCATTGCAAGAGATCCGGAAACACAGTACCTCAGGGCAAGACTTGAAGGCGCGGGAGCAGCAACTCGTCCGTGAGCTCGTTCATCATCATCGCTATGTGTATAGGTGAAGATAGGTGCTTATTAAAAAAAAAAAATATTAAACTGACAGTGGAACAAATATTTTGCAGATTCGCGAAACGTATCAATACGGTGTTTACGCTGATGATTTTCATACAGTTCACTATAAGCTCGACGGTACTCTGTTTGAGCATCTACAAGATGTCGACGAAGAGCTTACTGAGCCTCGAATTCGCGTGGAGTTTGTCGTATCTCGGCTGTATGCTTATGCAAATCTATTTATACTGCTGGTTTGGCAACGAGGTTACGTTGAAGGTCGGATATTTAAACGTTTCTACTTTTTTTTTAAAGAGTCTTGAATTAGTTTAAAGTCGGTTTGTTAAAGGACTTTTCCTTTAAACATTTATTTTTAAATGTGCAGAGCGCTGAAGTCAGCAGTGCCATTTACGAGATGGACTGGCCGATGCTTTCCACCGATTTAATGAAAACTCTTTTGATAATAATTGTGCGATCTAAGAAACCTATTATTATAACAAGCGGTCAGATTGTCACTTTATCCAACGACTCGTTCATGAAGGTTAATATTAATAATACTAAACACATTTCTTTTTTAACACGATTATATTTGTATGCTATTTAAAGTTCTATTCTTTCAGATTATTAGAATATCTTATTCGGCGTACAATGTTCTGAAGAGCTCTTAGTATAAGGACTCATAGTTTTACGTCACGAAGAAAAACAACTTAATGACTAACTAATTATTATTACTCAAAAATATTTGCTAAAATATTTTTAAAAATATTCTTATACATATATACCTTGTATATCTTTACTACGAAAGGCAGAATTTCTGGTTCTGCCGTTTAATTTGTATGAAAATAGAGGTGGCAGCAACAAGTCGCAGGAAACGGAAAGCTTTCGTGGACAGTTTTCACATTGTCCTTGATAGCTAATAGTTGCCGATAAATATATTTCTGTTTGCACCGTGGAAAGTAACCTTCGGGTAGCTTGTCGTTGATTATTTGGCATTTGCTATCTTGTTCTCTAAAAGGAAAATACATTACACCACTTTTCATAGCAGTCTATTTTGCTCTACTGACAATCCGTTCATTTTATATTTATTATGTCACTTTTAATTGTATATAAATATGAAAAAATTGTTAAATTTTAATTTACGGCGCTTTTTATTAATGTAATACTCACTGGCATGTTTCAATATGTATACGCTGTTGGAAATTCATCTCTTTCGATTGCACGATAAGCATCCATTCACCATTCATACTTTTAGCCGCTTCCGGAATAATATCATGTCCCTACAATTTTATATTGTTTTCCTTAATTAGTTTTATAAAATTTAACACTAATATTAAAAATGATTTTACCGTGGACGGACAAAGTTCTTTTACGTCTTCTAAATCTAATCTTGAGTCAATAGGCACCTATCAATAAAAAAGAAGAAATTTAAGAACCAAAACTTTGATGTTACAATTAATCATAAACAATTATTGGTTTACTAACAGCATCCTTAAACGCGTAAACATACAAATCGGAATTTTTCTTAAGTATTTGGTTTACAAACTCTCTGGGATAATTTTGAACATTTTCGCAAAAGAGTTGGCCGTTGTCACAGCGTGGCGCGGTTTCGTCAATTTTAGTTTTTACGTAACTTCTACCACCATTTCGTGTTCGCAATCTGTAGTCATCTGGAAATACAAAGCCTGCTTGATTGCGGGCATATTATTTTCTGAGTTATAAATTGGAAATAAAACGATTAATGTTAATATTGAAATTACAGTTGCGTTATTTTTCAAGATACATTATTTCGAAATTTTTATATGTTACCTTCAATATATTTTACTACTTTTTGTACATTCTTTTCCTTATAATTTGGTTGCTCAGCCATTTTTGAGGACACTGAATATACTCCATTTACATAATTCTTATAATACTCTTTATAAGAATCATATCCGTTATAATAAGCTTCGATTATCTGGAATAAAAACGGAAAACATGTTTGTTTAGTTTTTACTTTTTTGTTGCGCATTTGTCTTAATTGAACTCATCGATAATTCATCAATCCTTTTTTTTATCAATACATTTTGTATATCATTTCGATAATATTTTGATTAATAACTTGGAAATCACGTTTTCTAGAAGAAAGAATAACTAATTATATACTTAAGTGATTTATCTTGGATGGATTATTTGATTATCGGCGAGATTAATTTTACATAAGCCAATCATCTGACGCAACGGTTTGTCAATCTTGCTTAGAAGTTAAACTGTTTTTATTTTTATTTAATTACACTTTATATTAAGTTTAATATTATTTAACAATACTATTTATTTATGCCGTTTGATATTATTAAGATCACATTTTTAAATCACATTTTTCACTCAAAGTGTAAACTGCACCTTTAAAGATTCTTTGAATCTTTTTTTAATTAAGACAATCAAAAATTTTTACATACCGGTAAAATAATGGAGAGCAGCAAAAATAGTGTAGTACATTTTTTCAACATTATTATTATAATTGTTCTTGTTTCTCTTGCACGGTGTAACACAAAACATACACTTCAAATGGCAAATACTGCAAAGTAAATTCCACTAACTGCCAATATGATATTGAAACCAACAGTAGCAGTTGTGTAGCTTATGAGCTCTGTGTATTTCTTTGTGAACTGTTTAAGTGATTTGGATACATGACGACTTTCTAACATCACATGACTGTCATAAGCTGTCGGTTTCTTATCGACCACATTATTATCTGCTTCCGAGACTTTATCTGAAATCATCAAATCGCGTCAGAAGGACTGATTATTTGCATTTTATTTCTGCGATGTACTAGATTAATTATCGTATCAATGGGAAAATTAATCCAACAAAATTTGCAACGAATGTATGGTAAATCGAATAAAAGTGAACAAACCAACGCAAAATAGAAACACTTACCTTTCAACTTATTATCAGGTAATTTTTAGTGTAACTCGAAATAACGCAGAATTAAATAATTATTTTATTTAATACATTTACAAATATAACTGATATAGATAAAAAAAGGTGATAACAGTATGTTATAAATAAATTTTTTTTTAGGTGTTTTACATAAGTTCAAGAATCTAAATATATTTAACCACTACTTTATTATTATCAACCGTTACGGTCGATATTTATAGCATTCATAGAGGAAAAATAACGTTTACGTCACAAAAAACTCAACAGCCAATTAATTATTTTTGCAATCATACTTGTTTAAAATTATCCACTAATATAGTTTTAAAATATTTTTATACATATCTCTTTTGCTTAAAACTAAAATTTTTAAACGCTCAATCTGATTCCTGTCGCTTAAATGTTTATTTATCTAATAATTCACGTTGAAATTATGATGGGATTCGTCAGGATGTTCTCAGAACGAATTTTATATGCGCTGCTTCTTGAAAATATTTATTTTAAGTACGTACGAAATGTTCAATGCATACATTTTTAATACTTTCTTTCTTCAATGTCACAGCAACACATAAATGGAAATTTATATAGATTGATGTTTGCTTGGTTGCCGTTAACAGTTAGGATGTTGTAATAAATATATCTCTGTACGCATTTTGTGGTATAGCTTAAGGGTTCCTCAAGATTCTCCTGAATTTCGCTGCAACTTTTATTTTTATTTCTGGAAATATAAAATATATTAAGCCACTTTTTATATTGTCTATTTTATTCTCGTTCTAACAGTCTGCATATTCTATTACTCATTATATATATATATTACTTTTATTTACATCATGTATAAAAATGAAAAATTGTCTAATTCAAATTTATAATCTTTTTCAGATGGCACTTACACGCATTCTTCCGTATATATACGTTGGTGGAAATCCATGTCATCCGACTGTATGATCCATTTCCATTCGCCATGTATATTCCTGGCTTGTTGTGGCGAATAATAACGTTTCTAAAATTTTATATTGCTTTTGTTAATATCTGTAATATTCAACTAATATTAGATATGAATAACAATTAAAAAATAATTTTACCCGAAACGAGCAAAAATTCTTCATTTTTGACTTTATATCTATTCTTGAGTCAATATTTGCCTATTAATAAAGAAAGAAGCTTAAGAATGGAAACTTTGACGTTATATTAATGACAAAAATAGACAATATTAATTAATTTACTAACGCTATTCTCAAATGCGTAAGCGAACAAATGAGGATTGTTATAAAGTATTCGGTTCACAAGCTCTTGAGGATATTCCGAGTTATTTTCACAAGTGAACTGATCACTGCAACCCTTTGGAACGCTTATTTTTTCAATATTATTACTATCGTCATTCTGCGCTTGTAATCCGTCGTTATTCGAAAATCTAAAATTGCTCTCCAAGTCCGCATAGTTGCTGTTGCCTAAAGTCACATCCACAAAACGTGTTACGCTTAACTGATAATGGCAAGTAGAAATATTAGTTTCTTTAGTGAGTCAAGTTACAAATTAAAAATAAAACGATTAATATTAGTATCAAATTAGCAATTACGTTAATTGTCAAGATGTTACATATTTTGGTACATTACCTTCCGAATATTTGATTCCTTCTTCTCTGCCATTGCGATTGTAATCTGATTGTTCGGAAATTTCCTTAGTCATTGGATATTTTACTGCATTAATGAGATTGTTACTATATTGTCTGTAAGAGCTGTATCCATGATAAAAGCGAGCTTGGAGAATCTAGAAAAATGAAAACGGAAAATTAATTTCTTCAATTTTTCCCACTTTTATTGCTTGTTTATTGCTTATTCAACTTCATCAATGCTATGAATTTATTTATTATATACAATATTTCAATAATAACTTGATTAATAACTTTAAAATGACGTTTTTCTAGAGAGAGGAATAATTTATTGTATTTGTGATTTATATCTCATATAGATTATTTAATTATCGACAACATTGACTTTTCGACGGCTATTATTTATTTGATTGCAACAGTTTGTGTCTTGCTTGCTACGTTAAAGTGTTTTAATTTTTGTTTATTATATTTTATATTAACTTTAATATTATTTAATATTATTATTTACTTATTGCGTTTAATATTGTTAAAAACACTTTTCAATTATCTTTCAATAATCTTTTGCTGTAAATTGTACATTTAAATTTTTTCTAAGAATTTCTTAAATCTTTTTTAATTAAAACAATGAAAAGTTTTCACTTACCGGTAAGATAACAAAGACAGATAAAAATAATGTAGCAAATTTCTTCAATACAATCATTATGACTGCACTTGTTCTTCCTTCTTTCTTTATTTACTCACGCAATGTAACACAAGATATAAAGTAAAATAAATTTTAAGAATTGAACTCTGCGAAATATCAATATAATATTCAAGCAAGCAACTACAAGCTCTAAGCACTTCTTTACGCTATTTAACTGATTTTGAAAGACTTTTATTATAACGTCACATGGCAATCGTAATCTGCGGTTTCAACCGCAATACTATCTGCTTCCGAGACATAAAATTCCGGTAAAAATACCAATTATTTGTATCTTTTGCGACAAAATAAAATAAAAAATTTTAAACAATCCGTAGAAATTAATTTTATAAAATTTAAAAATTTACAATTTTCCAATCTAAAAGTTTCAGAATTGATTTTATATGTATGATAAAGTTACAAAATATCTTTACTTTTTATCTATACATTTTTATGCGCCATCTTATCTATTAATATCCTAGTTTTATACGTAATACAACATCATTGCTTTCAAAATTTATGTTTTATTTATTATATTCTTTTATTTTTGCTGCTTATTCTGCAAAACGCTACGTCATAAATAACTTTCCTCTAATGTATTATACGTAAGTTACTCTAAATATACAAAATTACTGTGTTTCCTTGTTGCTATTATTAATAGCTGTGGTCAGGATTTACGTATTTACTTAGGAATATTAATGACGTCTCAGAGAGATAAATTTTGATTATTACTTTCCAAATAATCGGTTATCTGACGTCATTTTGTCGTCATAATAACTAATTTTGACGTCATAATTAGTAATTAGAACGATAAAATCTCTCGTCACACGCTGTTGTCCCTATCAAACACCCTATATGGACAGCGAATAAATTTGTTACGAAACTAATCTTACTTTCTGAACATAATTTTGCTATATAAATTATTATATATACCTATTATTATTATATTATTCTATTCTTTCAGATCATCAAAATATTTTACTCGGCGTACAACGTTTTAAAAAGCTTTTAATATGAACTTTTTGACTTACATAACGAGAAACTTGGTGGCCAATTAATTATTTTTACAATCATAAAATTGCTAAAAAATATATACTAAAATATTTCTTGAAATAATCTTATGTATAATTCGGGTTTAGATGGGAAAACGCGATTAGCGTTACAAGAACTTACAACAATGTACAAGAAAATGTATATTTTTATTAACTTTTACAAAAACGTCATATTTGTTTAGTCGCCATAAGTTAACTATCTTTTTTACTTAACATTACAACGCCGCCCGAGACGAATATGGCACATCTTTTTTGTTTTATTCGCAACAAGATTCCTACACGGAAAGAACACTTGCTGAAATATCTAAAAAATTGTGCCAAATACAAATCTAAAAATAATTTTTATCGGACAATCAAAATTTATCAATAGAGCACTCAATCTGATTGATGGATGGAACAGAATGTCATATTGCAGCAAAAAATTTTGACGATCCATCAATCAGATCGAATGATAAATTATTAATAAATTTTGATAAATTTGTCCAACCAAATTATTTTCAGATCTGTATCTGGCACAATTTTTAGATATTTCAGCAAGAACGTTTTTTCCGTGTACATACATACAATATCTTTCGCATATCTTCACTTTTAGAGACGCAAAATTCCGAGTCGCTCCAACTGCTTTCGAAACTTAAATATTTAATCACAATTAAGGGCTGCAACAACAATACCAAGGAAATGGAAAATATGCATATATCCCTTTCTCGGTGCTATTGAAAGCTAGCAAATGAAAATTTTTATACATCTGCTTACATTGTGCATGGAAGTCCCCGCTTACATGCCGACATCTGTTAGCATTATTCGTATGGCTGAAAGTAAAATATATTACGCTATTTTTTATAATATTTTATTTTACTCTCGTTCTATTAATGATATTTCATATTCATATATTACTTTTATTTATGTCATATACAAACATGTATTAATAATTTGTTACATTCTACTGACAATCTATATATTATATACTCATTATATTACTTTTATTTATATATAAATATATATTAATAAGTTGCTTAATCTTATAATTTATAATTCTTATAATATAGCACTTACTCGCATGATACATAAGGTATATGTTGTTTCAAGTTGTGCTTATCCGACTGTACGATCCACATCCATGTGTGATTTATGGTTTTAGCCTTGTTCGGATAAGTAGAATTAACCTACAAAATTTTATGCCATTTTTATTAATATCTATAAAACTTAACATTAAAGAGTAACAATTTAAAAATAATTTTACTTTAGATTTGCAAAATATCAAATGATCATCTGAGGTTTCATCAGGGCTCATCTATTAATAATAAAAGAATATTAAGAATAAAAACATATAACAAGTCATAAATATAAACAATGATTTTTTATTTACTAACTATTTCGTCATGTATAACATTATCTTTCAACTTGGGGTTATTCCTTAGTATATAATCTACATAGGCGTTTGGATAATTTTCATTTTTAACTCGGCAGAAATCACCGTTACGACAAGGGGTTGGATCTTCTATGAATGGTGCATTAATGTCATTACGCATTTCAAATCCGTTGTCATGCGAAAATATAAAATTGCTGTCAAAATCTACATGATTGTTGTCACCTGAAGTTACACAAAAATATTATGCTCAGCTTATCAATTACAAGAAGAAATCTTATTTTTTCTAAGTTATAAAAATTTTAACTAGAATGATTAATATTAATTTCAAATATTTTTAATTGCATTATGTGTCAAGATATTAGTTTGCGATTTTTGTACGTTACTTACCTTTAAAACGGTTTACTTTTTGTATTTTATTATGATCGTAATTTGTTTGTTTAAAAATGTTGTTGATCACTGGATATTTCATTTCATTGTTATAATATTGCCTGTAAGAATTGTAGCCATGATAGAAACGAGCTTCGTAAATCTGAAACAAAACGAAAAATGCACTTCTTTAGTTTTTTATTTTTTCATTATTTGTCTGCTTAATTAAATTTATTGATGCTCAATTTGCACTTATTATTAATGCAATATTTTATAGAATATGTCGATGACATCTCAATAATTGTAATCACATTAAAAAAAAAAAGAATAATTGATGATTTATCTTGGACAGATTATTTGATTATCGGTAAAATTATATCTTTTCAATGATCATCACTTATCTAATTGTAATAATTTATATCTTACTAACAATAAATTAGATTGTTTTGATTTATATTTATTATATTTTATATTAAATTTAATATTATTTAATGTTATTATTTATTTAGTTTGTTTAATATTATCAAAACTTTATCACCTTTCAACAATCTTTTGCTGTAAATTGTACATTTAAATTTTTTCTAAGAATTCCTTAAATCTTTTTTAATTAAAACAATGAAAAGTTTTCACTTACCGGTAAGATAACGAAGACGGATAAAAATAATGTAGCAAATTTCTTCAATACAATCATTATGACTGCACTTGTTCTTCCTTCTTTCTTTATTTACTCACGCAATGTAACACAAGATATAAAGTAAAATAAATTTTAAGAATTGAACTCTGCGAAATATCAATATAATATTCAAGCAAGCAACTACAAGCTCTAAGCACTTCTTTATACTATTTAACTGATTTTAAAAGACTTTTATTGTAACGTCACATGACAGCGTAAGCTGCGGTTTCAATACCGCAATACTATCTGCTTCCGAGAAACTGTCTGAAATTATCAAATTGCGTTATTATAAATCAAAGAATTCGATTGTTTGCGTTTTTTTACGCTAAAGTAAAATGAAATCAAAAAGATGTCTAAAAAATAATTTTATGAAATTATAAAATGCACATTCTTGCAATCTGGAAATTGGATTTAAAATTGCTGAATCTTTTTATCCATTTATCTATATTTTTATGGCATTATTTTAATTAGCATATTATTTTTCTACATAATTAAAGATTATTTTATTTTAAAGCTTTTAAGATTTATACTTTATGTATTATCTTCTTACCTCGGTTTTGTTTCAGAGTAGCAATTAAAATTTTTCGCTGTACTGAAAAATACTAAAATCTTGAAACAAGCAGCTATGTCATAAATCAATATTTTATTATGTCATAAATAAATTTCCTCTGACGTATTTTACGTCATTAATAAATTTCCTCTGACGTATTTTACGTAGGTCAGTCTAAGCATCTAAATATACTTAATCACTGCTTCATCATTAATATCGTCAACAACTGCGGTCAGGATTTGCGTATCCATACAGGAAATTGATGTCTCATTGAGATAAATTTAAATGATTATTCAGAATCAGGCATTACACGAAACTTCATACAAAGTTTTACGTATTTTTGTTAGCTTTATTACTATTTCAATTTTTAAAATCAGAATTGATCCTCAAATACTAAGATTCAGTCGCTTTATTTTGAAATAAAAAACTCGTTTATCAAAATTATTATTTACACATTATACAAAACGTCTTTTAAATAAATGCAATAATAACTAATCATTATTTTTCGCTCGTAGCATTGTGTGCAAAAAGCCCTTGGCAGAAATAATATGCAGTAGGGTTGTGCCGTAGATTACAAGATTACATCGGCATTGATTTAAATAATTTTTAGCCAAGCCTCAAACCATTTCTAGCCAAGACTCAAACCAAATAATATTGATCATATGCTGGTACTACAGCGAGCTCTGTCGTTAATATGTAGTACTCATAGGAAGAGAGCTGACAACTCATCAAATACAGAATAGTATATAAAATTTTCAAGGCATAGCTGAAACCTGAGAGATATAAATAGCAAAATAAATAAATGACAGCTTAAACCGTTCGATCCTATATTCGGATCATTATTTTTCTTCGTGTGTTTTCAACCAATCTTGCACGGTCTTGACGCATCATGCGCATAACGTGCTCGATGCCGTGTCGACGCCGCTCGCTTTCTCGCGACGATGGTTACGAATGGTCACGAATCTGAATTTTGATGTACGCTCGTCGTTTGCCACGTGGCGAACACGAAGGATATGATTCTAAGGCGATTCACTGAGTCTTCCTCAGTTTGCTCTTCGTTGAGAAGACCATCAGCTTCCATGTGAATAAGCAGCGTATCCCCATTTGCCGGAGCAGGTGGCCGTGGCGAAGGCAGCTAGTTTTTTTTCCTTATTTTTCTCCGCAGAAGCATATGATCGCCCAATATTGTCATCGCAATGAAAGTAACGAAGTCCACTGTTGTTCTTCTGGTCTTCGTGCTGATACTTTCTATCTTGGTGGCGAATGTAGCTGATCTTATTAGCGTCGAGTCTCACCTTCAGAACGAGGCTCTGAGGAACAATAATGGGGAGGTACAATGGTCCAGACCGAAGTATTATAACATAGAAGATTCGTATGACCATTTGATATGGTTTATACAGGTTTGTTATTATATGTATTTAAAATATTTGATAGTGCAAGTTGTAGCATCAGTTGTACCATTATAGAGATCCATCATGACAATTTTATATCCTTAGATATCTGACATACATATAAGTATCTTCAAAGATCCATCGAGAATATCAGAGCTAAAGGATTTTTGCAATGTGACAGTAGATGCAATTAAACCTGTGGTTGTTCTTGCTTCAGGTATTTTATATATTTCACATAAGAAAATATTGTTGATCAAAGAAGTTGGATTAATTGATGTATGTCTTAATAGGAGATCTGACTGATGCCAAAAATAAAGATGAAATGGGATCCAAGCAAATACTTGAAGAATGGCAGTACTATAAATATGTAATAGAAGAGACTAATGTCAAAGAAAAAACGTTATGGTTGGATGTCAGAGGAAATCATGGTAAGAAGCAAGTGTTTTTGTGATTATGTCCATGTAAATTTACATAAATTTATGCAGAATAATACTTACTGAGAAGATCGTATATTTTGAACTAATTAATATGTTTTCAGATAATTTTAATGTGATCAGTCTCGACGCCAAAAATAATTTTTACTCCAATTATTCTATTCAGGGAAAAAAACATCCCAGATCCTATATGTATAATGTTAACGTTGGTTCAGCAACATACTCATTTATTGCAATTGATGCCTGTTTGAAGCCAGGTCCTAAAAGACCATTTAATTTTGTTGGTATTTTAGACCAACATGAAATTGATAAAATACAGCAATTGGTTAATCAGTCTAAAACGAGCAATGCGGATCATGCAATTGTATTTGGCCATTATCCTACGTCGTGTATATTATCACAATCTGATACAAATATAAGGAATATTCTAGGTAAGACAACAAACACAATGCTTTCTTTTCTCATAAAAATTAACTAATTATATATATAAATTGTAAAAAAAATTGATATATTAAAAGGTAGGCACAGAGAAAGTATGGTGTATCTATGTGGCCATTATCACATGCTTGGTGGCATGGTACCCAACATGTATACATTACAAAAAGCGGGCTTCCTCGAGTTGGAATTGGCGGATTGGAAAGATAATAGAATGTAAGTTAAGTGCATTTTTACAAAAAGCAATTATCAATGCATAATTTTGTTTGATAGTTTTATATTCCATTAGCAATATTAAGTATTAGTTGTCAAAAAGAAATTCTTTTTTGTATTATTACTCAAAATTAACACTGAACATAGTTTCTAATGTAGAAAAATATTCTATTTTTTTGCAGTTGCAATAAATAATAAATAAAATTTAATTTTGTGTGTTTTAACTCATTAAATATATCAGCTGTTATATCACTTATTTTTTTTTTGTACAACGTAATTCTTATTGCTCTCAATTTTTCTTTGATTTACAAACATTCAAAGTTAGACTCCTAACTAGTGATGGGATTTCAAAACTCTTGCTTGTAAATTTTTAAGCAAATCAAAAATTTTGAAAAATCTTGAAAAGCTTGAAGTCTTAAATTTGTATATATATATATATGTGTGTGTGTATATGTTATATTATTCAAAAATTTGACATATTCAAGACATTCAAGATATTTCAAGACAGTTTGAATCTCATCACTCCTAACATGTGTTTATTATTAGGTATCGCCTTGCAGCAATAGATCATGGCCAGTTCTCATTCATTGATATAAAACACAATGACTGGCCTATAGCATTGATCACTAATCCGAAAAATGTACTATTTATGATGCCGCAAAAAGAAAATTTGAAATCTATTGTTACATCCACGTATGTCAGGTAATCACTTTTCTAATAATTTTTCTTATTCATGAAATGTGTGCAGTTTCTAAAGCTCAGTTATAAATTGCTTGTTGCAGAGTGCTGGCGTTTTCTACGGCTTTGATAAAAACTGTCGAAGTTCAATTGGACCACGATATTTGGCAAAAGTGTAAGCATATAAATGGACCTCTCTACGTATTGCCATGGAATTCAACAAGATATAAGGACGGTATCCATCAAATAACAGTTCAGTAAATGTCTCGAACACTTATTGAAATTAATTAAAGTACTATTCTGAAAACTATCATTGTTATACGAATAAAATTATTTTATATATTTTTTAGGTACGCGTAGTCGATGAAAAAGGCAGAGAAAAAATTGTATCGCAGTCTTTTTCTCTAGATGGATCATGGTTATCGTCTCGCATTTTGCCCAAATTAATACTGATGTTCAACGTCGTTCACATTGTACGTTGATATGAATTACATGGCTAATCAAATTTTCGTACAGTTCATATTATACATATAACAATTAAATGTTTCTCACAGTTTCAGTTCCTGTTTGCCGTTGCCTTGGCATTAACAGTGGTACCACTATGTTTACTTCGGTTTCTTCATACGCACTACAAAAGTAAAGACACGTGAAATTAATCTTATTTTATATTGTAAAGCGTGTACTCTAAAGCTTCTCTTTATCCAGATAAACGTATACATCGACCGCGACTACGTATCAAATTTTTCCATTGGTGGCTGAGAAAATTGTGGATACTATCAACCGTTGACAAAGCGTTTTTTGGACTAGTGCTGTACTCATTATATTTAACTATCGGTAAGAGTGTGAAAATCGAAGAAGCTTATTAGAAATGAAATTAATTTGGATTAATTCTAGGTCCGTGGACCGTGGGAGAAATAATAGAAGATCACATAGGTGTGATCTTCGTGTGGGGGATATTCGTCGGAAACAGATATCTACCAGGCGGTTTCACTTATGCCTACGGATTTTTTCAGTTGTGCTGTTTTCACTTGCCGCTTATGCTGATTTTAGCGCATCAAACTGATCGTAGGTCCGTAATGTGGCGATAATAAACATTCTTTACATTCTTAGGAGTCTATTAATTTTAATTATTTGCATCTTAGATTACAAGATGCCGAAAATTCCACGAGGCAGTCCATGTCAAAGTTCTGCTTAATTTGGCAATGTGTGCCAACTTTGCTGCTAGTCCTGATGCAATCCATTATGGCCTATTTCTTATATCTGGAGTATGGTATAATAGCGATACTGTTATGCCCATTGCGAATCGGGAGTATTATTATAGCAGTATTACTCTACTATTACGTGAACACAATGCCACTCTCATCCTTAAGGTTTGTATCGATGCGTGCATTACGATACGTTCAATAAATATTACAATTATTTCTTTTTTTAAGGTCTGCTGCATCAGTGTGGTCTCCTCACGGAGCCATTAATAACAACAATGCAATATGAGAAAGTTAATGCGATTGGATATGTCGGTGAGATTACATTTCAAACAATTAATATAGTAGTTTTATAGGAGAGTTTTGAATAGAGAATTCTATTTCCTGTATTATACTTCACACATGGGGTGCGTCCGCGCGGCGCGCTATCCAGTGCAAAGGCTGTTCGTAATGCTAACAAACACAATCGTGACGTCACTGGCTTGCGACAGCAAGCCACTCTTCGAGTAGAAATGAAGGAGGTAAATGATTAGATGTTAAAAATAATTAAATTATTTTTTTATATAATTTTTCAAAAATCTGACAAATACTGTTTGCATTTTGTAATGAAATCGTAATGTTCTTTTAATAAGTGCCACGTTACAATATATACTCATTATTTTATGGACTTATGTATCTTATAATTGTTCTTAAGGTTCGTAAATTTTATGTGAGAAGAGAAACATAATTTAATAATTATGTTTGAACTGCAATGCGCTTTTTAAGCAGATGTTGCAATGTGATAATTATCGTTGTCATATGATTTTGCTTTAATTACTACTCTACTTCCATATTGTTCATAGTTGAAACTGAAGAGTTCCTTAAAAAGAATGTTACTTTTATTCTTTTTATAATAAAATTTCAGACTAAGAAGGTCACAGAGACACAAACAATATTTATATATTGTAAATGTTGCTATGTTTATACCTCTGTCATACTTTATCTCGTCATTGTAAGATTACGACGCTGGAGATATATCGAACTACAGAATGTGATATTTTTCAATTTAAACGACAGAGTTTTAAAAGGCAAAGCTATATTGTAAAACTTTAGTCCAGAGTTTTTAGCTGACAGTCCTAATCACTGTGACATATATTTTTCTACTTCCTTATATTCAGAACTCACACTATATTCTTTTCACACAGTTGTTACTTTAAATACTTCCAAAAACAGGCTTCTATCAAATTTATCTATGTTAAATGTTTTAACTATAGTACATTGCAGAGATAGCCAAATTATATTAGATACGCATAGTTTAATAGATTATCTTTTCGTTTAAAATGCATCCTACAAATGTCTATTGACAATCATATATATTTACCATGCAAAAGTATTGTAATCTAGAAACAGTAATTATATGAATTGGAACTTTTGTGCCATTATATGCAATGCATAACTCGAAAGGATTGGCTATCTTTGATTTAAAAGAAACTAGTGAAAGTAATATTCTATTAAAATGTGATTAAATGCTACCAAAATACAATCAAATGTAACAGCACGTATGAAAAGGATTCGCTAGTGTTATAGTAGGTGACGAAAATTTTATGAGATGTGCGAAGACGTGTGATTAATGTATATTAATAAATGTAAAATAAATAATTGTACAATATCAATAAAGAGCATTTTTAATTCAGAAGCATTTATTGCCCACGGACGCTCTATCGCGTTCATATTCTTACTAGATGCTGCTAGGTGTCGTTGTGATCCAACGACTACTCTCGTATCTTGTGTCGCCTCATCTTATTTCTGCAATTTTTATTCATTGCCGGTTTATGACTTCTGTGGAGCATTGCGCTTGATCGCGCTCTCGAGTTTCGAAAAGAGAAGAGCTTTACATCGCAAAAATGAGTAGGCATCATGAACATGAGATAAGTGAACATCCTGAAATTCAATGGGCTCTAGATCTACTCAAACCAGATCCGTCTTATGAGCCCTTTTTATTGCAAAAATATGCGAGTGAAATAGTGTGCATTGGATCTTGCCTCGCAGGTGTGTGTTTGCATAGGTGGTTCAATCGTAGGCCGGTTTTTTCGGGTAAATATCTTCTCATTACACCATAATACAATGAAATAAATGTAATATCTTTTGTCACACATTTTTTTTTATAACTTAACCTCATAACGTGATTATGTAATATGGCAGTCAATTTAAAGTAATTGTGTTACATTTTTTTGTATTATCTTTATTTGAGAATAACAGAGAGATTTTTAATTATATATATTTGCTTAACTACAAGATTGTGTAATAGAATTAAGTTTAAGATGGAATTGTACACTTCGAGTGTAACAAGTGACAGCGCTGAATTAATAACTTGTACTTACAGGGATACAAGGGCATATTGCATCAATAGCGGGAGGATATTTTGTATCGCAAATTGCAAACAGGTTGGTCGAGACATATCATGCGGAACATGATACCAGATTGAGAGATTACATTATACGACACCCAGAACTCTTTCCTGAGCCAGGTGAGACGTAGTTTTAGCTATTTTTAGAAAGAAATAAAGATTAATATGAAATAAAAGAGTTTTTAGTGTACATTGTAAAATATATTTATGGTATAACTACAAAAGAGAATATTACTTATCTTCTAACCTAACCTAACTGAATATTGAAATTGAAATATTACATTTACTTTTGTTTTTTGTTCCAGAACGTGTAAAATTTAGTGAAATACTCGAGGAATGGGCTCCAATACGCTAGGTAATTATTTATACTCTATTAGAAGTGACAGCATTCGTGATTGTGTATTCTCTTATGTAGACAGTGCAATGCAACGAATGTAGATGTACTGTGTCCACGTACTTTATAATGTACATAAAATTGCTTATTGTTACAATTAATAAAAATGGGATATATATTATTTTCCGAAAGTAGAACGAATAAAAAGGATTCTGATTATTTCAAGCTACTACTATTCTTAGGAAACAAAAGAAGGGAAATTCGTGTGAAATTTTATGTAGCATCAAAACGTTTTATACTTTCTTTCAGATTGAACAGTACACACTTAACATTACAGACGCTTGCAAACAGTTGTCGAGTATATAATCTATATAGGAATAAAAGTATTAAGTCCACGAACATTAACTTGTACAATTGAGATGCAAATTGAAATTTTATAAAGGTTTTTCTGATAGATTGGTAAGAAAGATGCCTGATATGCTTGACAATGGATTTATCGCATACACGCAGCATCCATTTTGATAACAACGAACGAAACGCGAATTGCTCGCGCTGAAATTAAATCTAACTTATTCAAAGTGACACTCCTATTTCTTTTCAGGATTGTAATTATCATTAAATAGGCCTGTACCCTTTGAATCTCCTAACCAGGGGTACTTGTTTGGACATTCTCTACACGTTTCCAGATACCTGTTGATAATTAATAAATGTTAAATTTGCAATTTAATATTTTACTATTGAAACAACAGCTGTTTAATCATTTTGAAGTATTGTTAACAGACAAATCAATCTCTACCTTGTCGTCGTGAAATTGGCTTCAGGAGGCTTGAAATCTAAAGCGCACTTATGTGGATTGTTGCACGGTGGTCCTGGCAGATTCTCTTTCTTTTTACACGTCCACCCTTCGAAATTATGCAGAGCTTTAATCGGTTTCGGATCGGTCATCCATGTTAACGCCTGCGTGGCGGTCACGAAGTAAACATCAGGTCTGTAAAAATCCGATATTTATTTAGAAATGTTAAGGATCTCTCGGTCGAAATGTACCTTACATATTTTCACTCACAGCGTCACTACCCAGTCGAGGAATTTCGACAGGCCGCGCTCCAGCTCTTTAATTTGGAACCAATTAGTGTGGAAGGGCATCATGTACGGCGCTCTGTTTTGTTCGTAATATCTGTTGAAGTCCTCCTGCAGCCACTCGAACACCTCCTCGGGATCGTGATTGTGAAGGACGCATTGATCCAAGTAAGGGCAGTGTCCACCTTCGTAACTCTCCACATAGTGCGCATTCAGGGGCAGCTCCCAGATGCCTGCGACGACAAGTTTCTCTCTGCACTCTACACCGAACGTGTAAAACTAAAATGTTCGATCGCAACTTCCGTTACCTTGGAACGATTTGGTCGGACAGGTGCCGGCCTTGCACTCATGCGGGATCTTGTAGTCGAGAGTGTACGGCCAGATCGGCACCTTCAGCGGCGAGATCCCCACGCTGCTGTCGTATATGTAGCCGAAGTCCTCGAGCACCTTGTACTGGGTGTTGCGACCGGGCTTCAGATAAGGCGCCCGCATGCCGACCACTTCGCTGGTCGAGATGTTGCTGAAGTGCTTCAGTATCTCGCGCATCCCGATCATCTCGCCGACCCACTCCTCGTAGCCCTTGTCCTCCAGGCCCTTCTGAAGCCTGAAACGTACGTTCGCTGCATGATCGCGGCGCGTTCCACGCGTGCTCACGCTACTCACGAGATTGTCTCCGTCGCGATCTCGTGGCCGTCGTGCGCCAGGCTCTGGACCATATTGTAATTGCAGTACTCGTGAGAGATGAAGAACGTGCCCCTCAGCGGACAGTTGTTGGGATTCAGTCGGTCTTGGGTGAATATCTTCTGGTAGTGATCGAAGTTGTTGTGATTTACGGCGCCGTCGAACGTCATCATTATCATTTGCGGCGTCTGCAATCAATTCAATTCACGCTGCATTCGTCTGTTCGCGCAGATGTCCCCGTGAATCGTTTACAATACAGGCACTGGAGATATCCTACCTCTTCCGGATGAAGACCGCCGGGAATGATTGTGCCATCTCTGGAACAGAAGCAATACGGAAGCTGGCAGGTCGCCGTGTCGCAGCGCTCGGCCAGATCCGTCGGCGGCTCGGTGATCGGCGCCGGTGCTGAAAATTGAAAGAACCAACCGTCGTCGCTTTTGCGAAAAAGACCGCGCTCTCACCGAAAATTATACACTTCGGCGAGTAGAGAAAGATTGGAAATGGTGCGCTCAAAAAAAAAGTAATAACTATTACACTAATTTCAAATTATATCAATTCGATTAATAGACACAGCTGGGTCGAATTGCCTTTCTCTTTCAATCTTGGTTCTTCTTTTACAAATATTTATTTTTGGCAACGTAAAAGTATTCGCTTACTGGCCTCGATAGGTCCGCATCGCGCTTCGTTTTTGAAGGTGCAAAATTTGCTGATGTCGTCGAAGTGCAAGCCCGATGGACATCGATTCAGATAGGGATATCCGTCCACGCACTTTTGGAAAGAGTACATTATTACAATGCGAATTGTTGCAAAAAAAAAAAAAGGTAAACGATCGAGTTGATAAAAATTATCAGACAGTGCGGGATGTAATTTACTTGATAAAACCTCCTGCAGGTCGCCGGATCGGCGAAGTTGCCGTTACCCTGGCCCTCGGGACACCTGAACTCCTCGTCCTTCTTGTCCTCGTCCTTTTTGTTCTTCTGACAGTGCACTGAAACGAGGAAAGGCGAGAGTGAGAGAAAACGGAGGGCAAATCTAATGCGAGGTAATGATTTTTCACGCGGAAAATGCGCTTGAAATACGCGCGAACACGCTTCGTAGGCGCGCGAATACGTCGTGAGAAAGGATTTCCTTCTCCTTTTTTTCCGTCCTCTCGTGAAAGTAGCGAAGCGTTTCGTAACTAACTAATCTTGTGCACGAACCCAAATTTTATTTCGTCACGCGAAACAACGCGCCGTTATTCGCTCGTACAGATAATCATTTTACTATTCTATCTATTACGAAAGTTATAATTCAGATCTTTACTCTTTTCTATTTTTCTTTTCGAGAAGAATCACCATGACGTCCAGGTGATTGTCCGGACGAGTAAAATACTCGAAAGCCATCAAGCCGGGAAAATGTCAAGGTTGGGGATCGCTTGCTCGAAACACGTTTACCGAGTGTATTTACGTTCTTATATTCCGGACTGGTTAACCGCTGGCTATCAAGTGCCTACGTTCCACTTTTACCGCGTTCCTTCTGTCAACCGTTGTTACGCCTCTGAGCCGCAATTACGTCCGACAGCGACAAAGCAGTGACTTTAATGAATGGAAGTCATATAATAATTTTCTTGCGACGGAATATTTATACGCAACATGAAGGTTTTGAAAATTGGATTTTTGTCAAGATTGCAAGAATGTAAGGTGCCGATTTATACCTTCAACTAATATTTATATCGCGGCAATAGGATATTTATGGTGTACTTATGGAGAGCCGCAGATAGCATAGAAGATACGGACGGGAGAAATCCCATAAGAGAGAATTGAGAAAGCGAGGAACACACGGTTGTGGTATTCCAATACGTTTGGACATGTGAGCGCGCGCAAACAAGCGTTCGAGCCGAATTTTTACACTTCGAAACGTATAAAAATACGAGACAGAGCCGCGCCGGCGAGCTTAATCAATTTTCAGGCATTAGCATATTTTGAAATTCATCTTACAAGTTGCCGTGTTTCCACACGAATAGAAATCTACGATATTAAAATTATATTCATATCGACATCCTGTTATCGAAATCTGCCATCAACAGATAGCGAATAAAATCGGCGCATATTTTACGCAAAATAGTAATTTCAATTGCGCAGACGAGGACAAAAAAGGTTTAGGCGGCTGTCACGTTGTATAATGCACCGTTATCGAATTGTCAAGTCGAACATGTATCGATACGTTTGCGCGAAGAATTTCTGAGTGCCGCGAGAACTCTTTATTCCAGACGCGCGACTGCGCTCGCATTGATTATGCGTCGGAATTGCACAAGTTTTCGCGAAGAGCAGCAATGTGGAATACAGTCAAGGTTCTTTAAATATCAAGGGGCAACATTTCTCGGCAATAAGTTTAAATTGTTATTTCATTGCTGATCTTAACATTGAAACTCAGACGTGAGCGAGCGTGATGAGAGAGATTGCACGACGCGCGAACACAACGCGTAGGTCCGAAGGTATTAAAAATGGTGTACAAATGCCGGCGAGAGAAAGTAGCGCCTCTGCGAAGGCTCTTCCCATCTTGTAATCGTTATGTATAGGACATTTTCTGCGTGTTTGTTTCTTTCGCCCGTAATATACTGTAATGAAATTGAGATTAACGCCCGTTTGTCCACGAGCTGGTCCTTTTCTCAAAAGATCACTCGCTGCTAATCAACGACTCCGTTTAGCTAAATCTCGTGAGAAACGATGAGGTAAGATAATTACACTTGCGCGATGGCGCCCGATGTAAACCGCAGACGAGTTATTACCGGCGCAAGATTGGCCGAGAATTACGCGTGAAGACATCCGATACGCATAACTCAATCGCTCGGCGATTAAAGTCCTGTAATGCTCGTAAAATCGCTCGACCTCGCTTTCGCCGGACTTCCTGCCGCGAATGACGGATATCTGCATTTTAAAGATGATTTAAAAGCAATAAGAATCCGCTCGGCGAAGCTGGCGAATTTCTAATCTGCGAAGTCGGATTGTGGATGAAGTTTGGGAACTCCTTTCTCTTCCTTTCGATTCGTCTTACGATTCTCGATGAATAATCAATTAGGAAATGTAATTCCGCGGACGGCCAACCGAACGCATATTTGCAGACAAGTAAGTGATTGCGAGTTTGCGTAATTCGTAAATAATTTCAGAAATTTTTATTTATCCATTTTTCTTTTTTTCGACAGGACGACGGCATGCAGAAGCGAGATGACGACCGCAGCTTGAGAGAGGTGCCTCGTTCACGCGGATGTCAAACAGATCAGTTTAGCGGTAAAGTGGAAAGTGAAGGTACGCAGCAGCGCGCGTTGGCAATGACGTTGGACGCTCGTGTGGTGTTCTTTCTCAGGTGCAACATTTCCTTCTATTGCCCGGACGCACGCACACGTGTATGCATTCCCATTCGCGCATTCGTACACCATATGCGCGTAAAACAAAGCTTATGTAAACGCGAGTGAAACCGCCGATGTGCCAAATCCGACGTGTCAGTGTTATCGCTCATTCGGATTTCCTACATTCTCGTTTCACTGTAAATCGATCCAAATTTTTTGTAGTGCCAAATAGCGAGCATATTCGAATATATTTTTTTTTCAATTGAAGGCTTTGTTCGATCTGCGGATCAATTAATTAGACGAGAATTCTTCAATTAAACAAGCATCATTCGCGCAATGAATTTATTTCTGTCACATGTATATAGAATATGAGAGCGATCTGATGACAATACAATTATATATTCGATTTTATCGATTAGACATCCTTTGGCTCGCCTATGATGCTATCGACAAAAATACCGGCCACAAAGAAAGAGTCTAGAAAAGGATTTGCAAACCGGAGAACATTCCTCAAAGAATATCATCTCACTCAAAGGGGGAAAAAAAAAAAAAAATTAACGTCAATGGCGACCTGCTAGAACTGGTCAGGCGTAGTTCCGAGATAGAGCGAGATCGCAGAAACCAGACGATCGAGTCAGTGTGTACTTTAGGAATTCAATGTTAGAGAATGATCGGAACTTTGCACCGCTTTGGAAAGCTGAACTAACGTAAAGATCACTACTGGCACTTAATCGAAGCGATATGCGAGTGGCGAAAAAAGTTCGGTAATTATGAAGCTGCACAAAATTTCGCAATTTCCGGAAGACAATTGTTGATTCAGAGCAGCAGATAAAAATATTCTCCCATTTCTCCCGCAGGTCGAATCTTTTAGAACAGGAACGTCGGCGGGGAGAAAGGCGATCGACAAAGTGAGTAACGGAGAGCGCGCGTACCTGCGACGACGGTCAGGACGACGCAGAGGAGCGCCGCTTCCTGGAGCTTCATCGTTCTCGCGCGTGTGCGTCCCGGCGACAGTTCAGAGGGCCGACAGTCGCGTGTGCGGGATCCCGATTCACGTGCCTCGACGCCCTCGTTCAGCTCGTGCGATCACCGTAGCCACGGCGATGTATCATCCGACCGATCCAACGGGCTGATCCGCTGTCGCGACACTGCCGGGGATACGCCGCCGCCACCGGCGCGGCACTTCTCGGGAACTCGGCCGACCGGAGGAACCGTTCTCAGCCCATTGGCTGACCACTTTCTATCGGCGGCGGCGGCAACCGCCGAGAAAAGCTGTCTCTCATATCGGACACGACACGTCGCAGCGTGAGATTCGCGTCTCGCTCGCGGGCAAACTTGCCTTCGAGCCTCTCTGCTCGTTTCGCTTTCAAAACAGGGCCGGATCGGTATTGCCCCGTGGCTATGCTTTTTTTTTCCTCTTGTCGCTGGGAATCGCAAAACACTTTGTACAATGCACAAGTTATGCTGAGATATTTTTGGAAACTGGAATAAGAGAACATTAAGTTCTTGCACGGCAATTGTTTCCATTTAGAAACGCAATTGTGTAAATGAGTTTTATTTAATACTGAAAAAAGGCCCTCTCGAAACTCGATATGTATAAGAATCTTTGCATGCTGCAACAGTATTACTAAATATAAATGTGCGCACTAGATTCGCACAATCTTAATTATTCTAATATCAATTATGCTATTATATAGACATTAATAAAATATTTTTAGACTTCTCTCTCGAAATATGCTATTTGGAAGCTCATTACTATTAATTCTGAAAGACACAGAACGAAATGTGGAATCGTTGTGTAGCAAGAGTGTAGAGCTAGATCAACATTTGCTTCCTTAAGATTCTAACAGCACATTACAGAGTCTGCCGATCGACGGAGGCGACTTAGGAACCGGTCGGAGGAGTCTCGAGGCAGCGAAGACGACGCTCACAACTCGATTTTAGCAATTTGCGGTCCTTTTTTGCGCTTTTCTCTCTTCGCGGACTTCTTCTTCTTTTTGGCAATGTCCTCGTCCTTGCTGGCGTGGGCAGCGCTCCTATAGGGATTAAAATAGCTCGGATCCCGTTCCGTCATGTTCAGCTCCTGCTCGGCCAGACCGATCATCGTGATGGTCGATTTATTCAACAAGTGACGCGTCTGATTGGCGAAATTCAGGGACCATTGTATCGTAGTGCTCCATTTCTGCTGCGTCTTTAGTATCCTGTGAGTGATGTCCGGCAAGTGCAGGATGATGTCCCCGAAGAGCGCGGTGTTCTCCAGAATGCTGGACAATGCTGCGACAAATATAGAATCTGGTGAGTGAGAGACGGGAATTTGAAGAGGAATTTTGATTTATGAGATTGTCACTAAGTGTCGTCTAATTTTTAACAATTTTAGGGATTTGCAAAATGAATAATTATACCCTCCTTGACATCAGTGTCTTGCGGAAAAGAGCTGTTGTTCGGTATAAAACCAGCTTTCTCGATAATACTCCTGCTCGATTCGATGACCTCCACTAATTTTTCAGCCAACACCATGATCATTTTGTACAGACGCTCATAGCTGTCCATCTTTAGAAGAGTTTGCACAGCTTCTATGTGATCCTTGCGCCGCTGGGCGAACAGTTTCTTGACTAAAACAGTTAAGACATGAACGTGAAGTATATCTATCTATCGCGATAGGTTTGCTTATTGCAATTGCATCACAACTCTGTCTTTTATTGCTGCATTTTTTACATTTTACGCGTTTAAAACTAACGGAATCGACATTACAGTACTTTGGAAAAACAGAAAAGTACAATTGCGTGTAACAGAGCTAATCAAATGCGAAAGAAAAGAACAAAAATGAAAATCAATAAGTACATAGTTCTTCGTCGAGTTTTGATTTGGACTCGCCACTCTTTTGCGCTTCGCCCGTGATTGGCTCATCAATTTCCTGCTGCGCACGCGTGATAATTATCAACATTGACACGACCGCAACGACGTAAACGAAAATGCGTGACGGCCGGTGCACTCGTAAATGAAACATCGTGAGAAAATTCTCCCGGCAAAGTGTACAACGAAATCGTCGAGTAATCTTCACTTCATTTTGATTTCATCGGGAGAAATTAACGCCGCGACTTCATTGATATCATTCGAATGCAGCCACGCCGCAATCTCTGCCACTGGCGATACTGGCGCTATCTTTCGATGCCGAAGATTCCTATTATCCGCCGAATGTCATTTCCAATCCTCCGAATCATCGAAAATCCTTGACAGTTCGTCCCGACGCGTTAAAAGTACCGATCGACGATCGGGAGATTGTGATCTATCGAACAAATGCGGTGTCTTTATGATTTTGCATCGGTCTTTATAATATCGAACTGCAAGTACGAATCGCCAAGCTGAAAAAAAAAAACACGGATTTACGAGTCTGTTTTACGCAATACAAAGTGCACCAATTGGCGATACACGTGACGATTTTTCCTTGATATGCCAGAAGTGTATCATCCTCGGTATCGTCGCTATATTTCCTAGTTCCTTGAAACAATTGATTCCAATCTGCCTTGTCAGTAAACATGGCGGCAATGGATGGTGACACGAAGCTTGATGCAAGTATCATCTGTTGCGATTTATCAAACGTCATTAGTTTTCAATGTTTATTTCGAAGCGCGTTTATCGCGATAAATACATGGAGTATAATTTTATGTAGATACATTTTGTACAAATGTGTCACGTTTTTGACATTGTACTTTCATTTAATAGATGTACGATGATGTCACGTACACTGTGGATCCTCAACACATTGAGGGTGAGATGACAGTAGGTACAAGGCAGAAATCCACTTTGGGAGAGCCAGAATTTAACACATTAGATGAGCCTATCAGAGATACAATTGTAAGTGTCGTTGCTTCTATTCCAACTTTCACGCAGCAATATATCTTTCGCTGACATCTATTATTTTTGTTTCATGTAGTTGAGGGATGTGCGCGCAGTAGGCAAGAAGTTTTTTCACGTTTTATACCCTAAAGAGAAGAAAAGTCTACTGAAAGAATGTAAGTCTGTGAATAACAGATATATATTGTTGAAAAGTGAGCTAATCATTTTATTATGCATTGTGTTTTTAGGGGACCTATGGGGACCATTAGTATTATGCACATTTATGGCAATGTAAGATATGTCTGTGTAAATATTACAAGAAATTGATTAGTTGTGCATATTAATTTACAACTGCTTCGTTTAGGATACTGCAAGGTTCTGCCGATACAACGAATTCAAATGACGGAGGACCAGAATTTGCGGAAGTATTTGTTATTGTCTGGATTGGATCTATGGTTGTTACATTGAACTCCAAATTATTGGGTGGAAATATGTAAGTGGAGCTCCCTCCAAGTTTTGATTAAAATAATTGTGGAATTATTATTTCAATGCGGAACAATATTAAATTTTTCAGATCCTTCTTCCAAAGTGTTTGTGTCTTGGGATATTGCCTATTACCATCTGCCATTGCGCTAATTTTATGCAGAATAATTCTAATAATGCAGCAAAATACTCTCCTATTTATCATTAGATTTATGATCACTATAACTGGATTTTTGTGGGCAACGTATGGTAAGTACAGAGCGAATATTTAATAATATCTCAAGATTTATACGAATAAAAAATTATTGTTATCCAAAATATTAATTTAAATTTTGCGCTAATATTTTAGCATCTATGGCATTCCTTGGCGATAGTCAACCTGCAGGGAGGAAAGCATTAGCGGTATATCCGATTTTTCTATTTTACTTTATCATATCGTGGCTAGTTATATCGCACACCATATAAGACACAATACAATAACTGATCTGTCACAAGACTGTGCTTTGCTCCCGCCTTCTGTATAAATTCCAGAAGACAAAGAAGAAGGACAACGGAAGGAAATGCAAGTATTTATACATGATATTTTCCAAGTCCCGTATTTGGACATATATTCCAATATCATGCTTTTGTGAATAAAACACACAAACACACACACACACACGTATATATATATATATAATATATATATATAGTAAAGTCAAATCAAATATTTATTACCTCCTTAGAATGTCATTCAATATGTCAATTATAAGATTTGTAATTATATTTAATCCTACTAATTGCACACTACAATATCGAGCTAAATTTATCGCCGGTACAAAAATATTCTATACTTTTCCTCAATGAAAACCTTATCCAGATTAGTATATATTTATACAAACTTGATAAGATAAACCGATTTCTTGTACCTTTGATTCTGAACTGCTACATTGAAATTCTTTCTGTACTTCCATAATTATTCCTCTTTATCAGATTCCAAGTTCTTAATTATAATTTTATATTTAAGCAGTGTTCAACGAGAACACCGCAAGAATTTGAAACATAATTTGTACTTTTTGTACATATATATATTATTATGTATATAGAATTATATTTAACTGATATGTTTTAAATAAACGCAGTGTAGAAAAAAAAAACCGGAGTATCTCATGTGTGCGAGAAGTATCTTTGAAGTTTCTGCAAGATTGTTTTACTATCGTAATGTCCAGGATACGCGTTCAACGATTTTTGTACTGCGATATAACTCGTTTGTAGGTCTCCAACCTGTACATACATCAAACATATTTACAATGCCGTTCGGCATAAATCATCGGAGCGAATTAAAGAAACAATTACCTCGTAAGCCAGATTTGCGCTATTGAAATGCGCCTCGTACACATAGCTGGCGATGTTAGCCGCCGCGTGAAAATAGATTCTCGCCGCGGTGACATTTCCGTTCCGCATTTCTATCACGCCGAGATTGTTGTAAGCCAGAGCGTGTCTATTGTCGCTCGCGATAGCTAGCCGCAGACACTCCTCCGCCATTATCAGATCGCCCAAGGTCTGCAATTACTCATCTACCGTATTTTATATTTTAAAGCGCGATGGAATGAATTGTACGTACGATAGCAATGTGGGAGACGTTGTACCAGACATCGGCTACGCTCTCATCGGTCGCGAGACTCAAGGCACGCTCGAAGCACGATATAGTGTGATCGTATTGCTGAGCGTAGAAGCAGCAGAGCCCGAGGTTGTTGAACAGCTCGGCGTTATGCACGCCCATTTGCAAGAGGCGTCTGGAAACATATAGCGAACCTTGTCAAAATTTCAAATAAGTAAAATCACACAAAGTCGAGGAAAATAAGTTATTACATTACGACGAAGCAGTAAAGCGACCTAATGAAAAACTGAACTTGCTCAAGGCTTCCCTGATGGAAATTTGACGAAATTTTGCTAAAATGTATTTGAAAATTTCTCTCAATTAACCCCATTAATTAATTTCATCAACATTTCAGCAATTTTTCATTAAAAAGTAACAGTTCAGTTTAATTCAGTAAATTTCATAATGATAATTATTTCAAAACCCTTTTATTGCTTTTCAGCGGTATATTTTAACTTTCCTTATATTTCATAGTATTACATTGAATTTTCATACGGAAAATTATGATTTCATTTTGAAATATATTCAGTAATTTGTCAAAAACTTTCATTTTACTTTTCATCGATTTCATAGTACTTTCAGCAAAATATTTCCATCAGGGTTGTCACTTAAATGCACCTGTAATAGCGCAAGGCTAGCTCCGGTTGATCGTTGTAAAAGTGATGCATGCCAATGCTGGCGATCGCCTCGGTGTGAGAAGCGTCCTCCTGCGCAATCATCTTGTAATACTTCATGGACATCGCCGTGCTGTTCAGGCCCTCGAATATACGGCCCATCTCCGTGAGAATCGTGACGTCGTTGGCGAAGTACTCGAGGCCTCTCTTACACGTGTCCAGCGCGGTCAACGGCTGATCGAGCCTGACGTAGACCCTCACCAGCCGCAACACCGTCTCCACGCTTTTGTGATCGTTGAGCGCCGATTTGAACTGCTGCTCCGCGTCTCTCACCAGCCCCAGCGTGTAGTAACACTTTCCCAGCTGCACCTTCCACCACCAGTCTTTGTACTGACAGATCTGCGTGGCCTGAACAGCCAAGTCCAGCGCCTGCAAAGACATTTTCGGCGTAATTGCGTCCCGACGGTCTCTCGACGAAATCACCGCCGACACTCACGTATCTCGCATCGTGCTCGTGATAATATATGTATTCGAACAGCGGTTTCGCCACGCCTTGCTGACTGGCGTACTTCGTTATGTTCAGCCGCGACAGCTGGATGAACGGCCCGCCGGGCTCCGTCAGCATCGACGCCGTGCCGAGTCTTGAAAGACGATCCTACTTTAAAATCCGCCGTTGACTGCGAACAAATGTACGGACTGCGTTTTATACCTGACACTGCGCCCCGAGCTCGCTGTGATCGGCCTAGCGGTCATCGCTGTCCTCGGTGTTCTCAGCGCCTGCTCGATCGACTGGGACGTCGCCGCTTGAGTGGCAGGTCGCACCACCCCGGTGACGGGTCTACCTTTACGATATCGATATCTCGTTAAAAGGGTTCAACGATTCGAACTGGAATTTCTAGGCGGGCTTTGCGACAAACCAGACTGGGACTTGGGCCGCACTCCCTGGCCGGCGTGACTCGTGCCGGGGTTCTTCAACGACGTTCCCGGCCTGGGCATCGACGATATCGCAAAATTGTCCAGCAGAGTCTCCGCGATTCCCTCCTCCTCGCCTTCAATGTCGTCCACGTAGACTTGCAGCGTTAAGGCGCGCATTTTCAGGACCCACACGGCCTGGCGACAAGAGTCACGCGTCGCAGTGATTCGCAAATCAGTATTATTTAGGTGGAAAGAAAAACGGAATACCTGATCCAATGGATTTTTCCTCAACAAATCCGTGCACACCGCGGCGCACGCCTCGTATTTTTGTCGACCGAACAAACTCAAAGCTGTGAACAGTTCCATCTTCGACGGAACGTGAATTTTCTCGAACGTTAGCTTCACCGCATTGATCCATTTACAGCGGTGTAGTGTGTCTATGCTTCAAGCACCTGTCTTACACCTGCTGTGTACAGCCAGAGTTATTGATTATTCGTCTGTAGTTATTTCTTCTTTTCAGCGGCATAAAATATGCGAGCGGTAATCGATTGATACAAAAGTATACACACATGATTGTTATTTGTTCTCAATCGAGTGAAATAATATCTATTCGATATAGTTTTTTTTATACTTTTTTAGCGTAAACGCTAATAAAGAAAATTAGCACAAATGTGTTTATAATATCATTCTAATGAAATCATTATACTGATTAAAAAATTGCAATGGAATTTGTTGGCAAGAATCATCCGAGGTTAGTGTAAAAAAAAAATAGTTAACCTTATTACAATTTACAAATATACGAATATTATTACAGTATACGAGAAGCGTTCGAACGGTTTTTCGAAACGAAACAGATAGCAGAGCAATACACCGAGCAATCTTTGACGTATTTGCACGCCGCTTTCCTGGTACGTGTTGCAAATGCCTTTTCTTTTTCCCAATTGACTTTGTTTTACAAAATTATCGGGATTACAACGTTGTTCAGGCGACGGAAAATGGAGAAATGGATTGCTCTCAACTGTACAATGCTTTTCAAGACATCCTCGACATAAAAATGTCACAAGAGAAATTCCAAGTTGTCTTCAAGAAAGTCGGTTAACTTTTACTTACCGTCTTGATTGTTTTTTAAGTTTCACATAATTTCAGATAGACGTGAAACTCAATGGCAAGGTGACGTGGGACGAATTCATTTCCCATTTACTGATAGAATTTCGAGACGCAGACACCGGTCTGGGATCGCAGATATTGGAAGAACCGCTGACGGATCTACCGAAATTGTCGAGAACACATCATCGCACTCCTGTTTGCAGAATCGCATTCTGCCCGGAAGTTTTGCCGGTACGCGTCCAGGAAACCTGACGTATGAATTTGTCAGCTCCCAGCAAACACAGATATTGTAGCAACGTTGCAGCAATATTGCTGCAATGTTCTGTGTTTGCCAGGCTTCTTATTTCGCCAGAAAAGGCTTTACTTTTGTACAAAGAAAATGTACTCCGCAATGTAATTGCAAAGTTAATTGTTGACAAAAAATCGACAGACTGCATATGAATGATCCTTTAAAAAAAAACACCTCCAACAGGATAGAAGCACGAGTTTTCGTAGAGGATGTTACTTGACTGTTAGCCGAGATGGGATGATCAACTACTGGTCGCTGGATCTCGAGTACGAGCGCACTGTGCAATCGAAGAATCGTTAGTACAATACTTGAGCGTCTCCTCCTCGGTCGCCGACTGATAGCCTTCTTTCTCGCGCAGCGTACTTAAAAGTCCAATCCACTGTTATAACCGACATGATCGTGTTGCCGGACGTTGAGATGGTATGCACGAGTTCGACCGAGTGCGACTTGAGATTTTACGACACGGCGGCGAAGAAGTTCGATCTTCGCACATTGGTAGTAGAATTTTGACGGCTGAAGGTCGATCGACTGTCGATCAACCGCGCGTCATATTTCCAGATATCCAGTTTGGCGAACGCGGTCGTTTGCATGCACTATTACTTCAGCGCGAAGGAAGACTCTTGCATCGTTCTCGGCGACACGAGTGGATCCGTCATAATCCTGAGCTTTAATCCCGCGGACAGAGGACCCTTCAAGCAGAGCACCACTCGCGACATGACGGTTCTTCGCTACAACGACGTTAAGGTATAAGGATCATCCTTGGTTCCACGAAGTGCGCGTCGCAGATATATATACCTTGCTGGAAAACAAATATTGCGATCAGGGAGAAGAGGAAGGATTCAGCGTCACCGAGTTCAAGAATATACATACAAACTGGGCGAGCCAGGTGGCTTATTACGGAAGTCTGCGTGTGTTCGCGTCGGGCAGTCAGTGCGCGGATTGCTCCCTGTGCGTTTGCGAGGTGTCGGGAGCGAGAACGCAGTATAAATTCCGAGTGCTCATGGGGATATCCTGCTTCGCGCTCTGCGAAGGTTTTCCTTTACCGACCGCGCATTCGGTCTCTTCGTCCATTTCGAAGTGCGCCTTCTTCTTTTTCCAGAAAGCCACACGCTAGCGACGGGCGGGCCGGACTGTATAGTTCGCGTTTGGAATCCATTTGTTCCCCGAAAGGTGAACGCCGTGCTTCCGGGACACCGTTCGACCATCTGCGCGCTCGTCGTGACGGACACCGGCAAGCGTATTTACTCCCTGTCGAAGGACAGATGCATAAAAGTGTGGGATGTGCCAGCCCAAAACTGCATTCAGGTTTGAAAGATAAAGACAGGGCTGCTCATTTTCTCTCTTCTACACTCCGCATGCGTTATCCTCCGTAATATTACAATTAATAATAGAAAATGGACTTTCAACAGACATACAACAGATTACCGAGAGAGCTGAGCGAACACACCCCGATGTCTATAGTGTTCAACACGCTGACTCGCACAATGGTGATTGCTAGCATGATGATCGCCGTCCTCGTTTGCGAGCACGTGATCAACGAGGAAACCTCAGACGGCTACACGCACGCCAAAGGCGTCAGCTGCGTTCTCTACAATCGCCTCTTTCAAGTGGTGAGTGCTTTATTTCGGAAATGGCAGACATTGCTTGAAACAATATCGCGGTGCGTAGATCATTTCCACCGGATTCGATTCGTGCATCATACGTTGGGGATCCTTGGACCGGACGCCTCTTACGGCTGATATCGCACGCCCACAGCGTCGTGCGACACGGGCAGCACAGCGACGTCGAGATTACGGCGGCTTGCTTCGACGAGTCCGAGCAATTTCTAGCGACCGGCGCCAGAGACGGATCGCTGAAAATATGGAACTTCAATACCGGCGACTGCGCACGCCAATTGACAGTTGATCATCAATGGTACACGACGATGATTCCTCGACTCTAAAATTTTGAATGGAAAATGAATCAGAATGCATAATACGCTTTTCTGAGATTTGATGAAATAACTTGTCGGCTGCTGTTTAAATAATTCATTTATCGTTTCACGTTGTAAAGCGAAATAACGAGCGTCGCGTGGTGCGAGAATCGAATCTTGTGCTGCGGCTGGAATAAGCGCGTTACAGAATTAACGGCTTTCGAGACCAACACGGGCAAAAAGCATTGGACGACTATTCACACCGACGATATTCTCTGCTCGGCGGCGAAACTTCCTCAACTTTTAGCCACCGGAACGTACAATGGAGAGCTGATTCTCTGGAGGCTGGAAACGGGTCAAGTTTTTAGAAAGCACCAAGTGATTGACGTCAGTAAGAGGTAATGTTAATTTTGCATTGTCATAAGCAGTAATTGGCAATTGAAAAACGCACGATCGGAAATTGATTTAATAGGCACGCTGCGACGAAGGAGGCGAACGCGCAAAAAGTTTTTGAACAATCAAATGAGACCGACAGACCCATCGATCAACAAACGAAGTAAAATTATATCTGTAATTAGAGGAACGTTTCTGAAAATATTCTGAACCCGATACCTCGTGAAATAGAAAACTGACTCCGTGCGCGCATCAAGAATCAGCATTGAGCGTGATTCGCGTGATCGCGGTGCGCGCGATGATCTTCCTAGCCGCGCGAGAAGTGAAACCGGACGTCGGCACGCTGCTGGTCGCCCTCGATTCCGGCTTGGTGCAAGTGTGGACGCATCATCCGCCGACAGGATTTTTAGGAGCCTTCTCGGTTGTCCACACGCTGGGCGACTGCGCCACGTCCTTGGCTACTGATCGCGAAAATCGATTTCTCGCAACAGGTTCTTCGCGAAACAAAATTGAAGATTAAGTTCGGAACACCTTTCTTCAAAACACCTGTGATCTCGTTTTAAATTCCTTTCCGAATTAGGCCACAGCGTGGGATACGTAAAGGTCTGGCTGCTTTCCAATTACATGCTACCGGACCCGCCGAAAGTGTCCATGCCGCTACTCAGATTGGAATTTCCGTTTCTGTGGAAGGACAGAGTAAGCGGGAGGGCGAAGAGGGCGATACGAGGTCAAGCACTGCCGCTCCTGCTGACGTCTGTGCGCGCTCATACGCAGGGAGTCACTTCTCTCCAGATCGTTTCCAGCGCGCGAATAATAGTCAGGTACGCGGCATCATCATATTGTTAAAATTGGACGAAGCGCATTTTGACATCTGAAACATTGAATGTGGCAGCGGCAGTGCGGATCGCACGGTACGTTTGTGGAGTCTCGGAGGCCGTTACATATCCACGTTGGGCACGTTTAGAGAGTGGACTCCGATCTTGCCCGCTGTGCCTGTAGACAAGTATTTCGAGGATTATAAACTTCCAGCAGATGTCAAGGAATTCGCTAGCTGCACCACTTTGAAGGTAAAAATCGAAAAGATACAAGAAAATGTATGTGCAATCACAGCTTTCCGTGATAAAAGGTACTTCACGGCGGTGTGAGACAAGTGCAACTGGAGATTGAGAAAGAGGAAATTGATGTCCCGAAAGAAATTCCCGAAGAGGAGCGACGTGTGCTGTACGGCAAGCAATTTGACAGTTCGCTGCTTGAAAATTATTACAAATCACAATCGCCTAGTAAAACATATCAGGAATATTTAAGGCTGGATAATAGTTTGCCTTATGTAAGCACATGTTTCGCATGCTTTAGATTTATATATAATAGTTTGTGTAACAGAATATATATAAATTCAATTTTTATTATTATATATACGTATTGTATAAGGCAATTTGACTTATAACGATTTCACATATTTGTAGATACCGATCTATCTGCATTTACCAACACATTCCTTGATATCTATAAAGGCGCAAAAAACACTCTTACTACAGAAAATGGAACTCGCGTATGTATTTTTGCTTTTTAAAATTTCTAGAAAAAAAAAACAGCGTAGATGTCTATCCAATATTTTATATAAATACTTGTAATTTCAGTAAAAAGGTGTATTTAGGAAAAGCAATGAAGCCACTGCGCTTACATGTAACGGATCAAACTAAGTCCACGAAATCAAGTTTACTGCGCCGTTAACTTTTTATAATCAAATTAAAAAATTTGTACAAAATACAATATTTGCTATTGGTAATTTGTAATTGTCGTATTTATTTAAAAATATATTTTCGTCATCATTCACCAATTGGGTGCTTTTCACCAAGAAACACAAGTCAATTTCTGGAACGGCTTTCATAGTCTAATTTTAGTTTGCTCTAAATATAATTAAATCATAATCGCAATTAAGCCAAAAATTTGCCTTATTTATTTAACAGTTATAAATCTATATAGCATTTTAAAATCATTTTAAAATTAATTTTAATTATAATATAGTAGTATAAAAACCGCTCTAAAAGTCGGCTTATATTCTCGTCTGGAAAACACCGAATATCGATTATCTAACTGTAAATTTTAATCTCTCTTTACAAGTATAAATAAATATATATATATATATATGAGATATAAACATGAGAATGCGTTGTTTATTGTTATATCTCATGTTTACAATTGTGAATAATATATATAACGCGTTTTTAATAATTAACTTTTACTTATTTATATATTGATTATCTACAAATTTTAATTTCTCTTTGGTCTACCAAATAGATAATAGATAGTAAATAATCAATATATAAATAAGTAAAAGTTAATTATTAAAAACGCGTTATATATATTATTCACAATTGTAAACATATATGTATATATATATATATATAAATCATTATTGTACTTACCAAAGAAAAATTAAAATTTGTGGATAATCAATGTATAAATAAGTAAAAGTTAATTATTAAAAACGCGTTATATATATTATTCACAATTGTGAACATGAGATATAACAATAAACAACGCACTCTCATGTTTTCTACATGCATATGATACTTTAAAGATTAATGCACGCATACAATACTGTTTAAATCTTCAAGTGCAGTTGAGAATTTTAATTATTTCGATAAAGACTCGACTTCCATCATATCAGTACGCGGAGGCATTTTCCAGATTGCACTGGACGTACGCTTCAATCGACTTCTGTCTATACCTTGGAACAATTCCGTTAAATCTGGCGTGCACTTACGAGTATTGAAGAATTTGTTAATTAATCCTTGAGGAATATGTCGTTGCATTGCAAGTTTTATTTTGCGATTATGTGCTGAAAATTAAAAAAAATTTTTTTTTTCTAAATCGTTCCTCTTCAACCATGTATAATTTAAATTATCATTAAAATACATACGTTGTGCCCAATACGGTATCTCATGTTTTGGCCTGCTTTCATCGTCTGAATCATCATCAGGCTCGCTTTCTAATTTGTAATCTGTCGGTCCTGGCTTGTTCTGTAAAAAATCCAGAAGCGATTAATAAAAATCGATTGTGTTACATTGCGAGAAAAAAGATTCGAGAAATTTTCTTCGTTGCGAAAAAAACTCACTTTAGCTTGAGCAGCGAGCATTAACTGTTTTTGTTTCAGTGCTTCGGTAGCAGCTTGTTGTTGAGCTCGTACTTCCGCTTCCCTGCGTTTCTCAGCTTCTTGTTCACGGCGTCTTTGTTCGGCGAGTAAACGCTCCATCTCCTCTTGCTCCTGCAATTTCTGCAATCTTTGTTGCTCTTCTAATTTACGACGTTCTTCCTTCTCCTGTGCTCGTTGCATTAGAGCTAAACGCTTCTTTTCTACCTCCTCGCGGAGCTTTTCCTGCATTAAATGAGCCAATTTTGCCTTTTCCTCTCTTTCTTTCTCGGCCTTGTAACGTTTTTCTAGCTCTTGCTTCTCTTTAGCTTCTCTCGCTAATTTATTCTTGAGTTCCTTCTGCTGTCGCTTTCTATACGCAAAACATACAAGAGACATTAATTCAACAATTATATATTTCTTATGCATCATGATGTCTTTATATACCTTCTTTTTTCTTCTGTCAGTAATCTCAAAGTTTCGTCTCTCTTCTTTCTTGCGTCATCCTCAGGTCGCTTCTTATCCTCCGTTTTTTCCGAATTGGTTGAATTGGTTTTACTAACGCTTTTTGTGATTAAGGAATCGATACCAGTAAGAATATTTGCACGCTGAGCGCTTAAAACTTTAGGACACTAAAATTGAAGTACATGTAAGATCTCTATGTAAAGAGTATATAAATATCTTAGCACAATATTATGAAGAAAATAAAATTGAAAATCAATCTCACATTTAAGATATTTTGGGTATTTGTGGGAGTTTGACGATTTATAGATGTTGGAGGTTGAACCATTCTCAATTTATTTAAAGGCGTTGTTTTTTGCTGCATTTGTTTTGTACTTGGTTTATCAAGTAATTTAGTGATTCGTTCTGGCATCTTGGTAGTGTCTTTGTTCTGAAAAAAAAAAAGATCAATTTGTTGCTAATAAAATGTTACAAGTTAATAGAAAAAAATTGTACAAATTAAACTTATATAACAATTGTAGAATGTAACTAACCACAGATGCTTTTACCTCTTTATATTCCTCAGTATCTTTTATTTGCTTCGCTAAAGAGATTTTCTTTGCTTTTGCAAGCGACTTGCGAGCCAACATTTGCGTGACATTTTCTGCCACGGTATTCATTGCACGAGTTTTTGATCTGGTTATTCTGCTTGGGGCGTCTACATCAACCGACTTTGGACTATTCATCGCCACTTGCTCAAATGCCTCTACTCGCTTTTTTACAGACTCGTTTGCATAAGCATTAAATAATGCACTGGACTTGTACGTAGCTTTATTAATTTTATCCTGTGCAATCGTAGGCGCGCCTCTAAGACGTGTTTTCATTGGCGTATTAGGGATCTCATTGTCACTGGGTGATAAGCTTTTAATTTCCTTCTTTGTATTATATTTCGATCTCTTTACCTCAGGCGATGATTCATCTTCTGTGATTAACTCATTATAATTATTGAATTCCATAATTTCCTTTTTTGACTGCACAGGACTGTCCTGTAGTGCTTTCTTTGTACTCGATCTCTTTTTCGATTCTGCATTATTTTCTACTTTTTGAATTACCATTGTCTCATTTAATTTTGTCTGTTTCGGCAAACGCTCCAATACAACTGTAACATTTAATTTCTTTTCAGAACTATGTTTCATAGTTGAATTCATAAGTGGAGTGGGCTTTTCAATTGCATCCTCGTACAAAGATTCCTCAACATTATCCGTATTGGGTGCGACAATCATATCATCGACTTTATTCACTTCTCCATCTTGAGAACTTTTAAGTTTTGATCTATCTGAACATTGCAATTTCGATAATTCAACAGTGTTCTCTTCGTCAACCTCTTCAGTCTCTTGAATTTTCTTAAGCGAAGCAGCTTGAGCGACCTGTTCAGATTTCTTTTTCGTTAATCTTTTCGACCTTTTTGGTTTTCCTAGATCCTCATCTACTTTGCTATATTTAGAACTGCTTCTAATATCATCTTCGTCAGAACTGCTTACCGCAGACTTCTTTCTTTTGGCTGAATGTTGTCTCTTTGCCTAATAATCATAAATTTATACAATATATAATAACTTTCTATTAATATTACAAAAATAATATAAAGACTATTACTTACTTTCTTTACAGATGTATTAACATCTTGAAAAACTTGTTTCTTGATATTATTTGCTGCTTTCATAGATGCATTCCTCTTTGATCTGCCACTCAGTATACTCGTCTCTTGCTCTTCCATATCAATAGATTGAAGAGAAGTTGTTGACTGACTATTTTCTACTTCAAATACCTCATTTTCTGGTATAGTTTCGATACGTGGAACCGCTCTTTTTCGCAATATCTTCGGCGTTTTCATAACAAACGGACCAGACGATGGTTGTGACAATTGGGTTGCCAGTTCTTGGAAGTAAGCCAAACTATCATCGACATTCTGGTGGAGGCGATTCGTCATTTCCACACCACGATTGTGGATACTCAAAAGGTCATTTAAAACTATAGCCATAATTTCGTCTTTTGATTTGGGCATGGTAGTAGACTGAGAATACGATGGTTTATGAACATCAAGCTCCATAAAAAAGCAAATATTATTTTCTACCCCAACGACACGAAACTCGCTAACATAACGTATCCGAAAAAGACACTAATTTATTCTTCGATATGAAATAAACAACCCGGAAGAATCACACACTAGCGTCCGTTGCTTCTTGGCGGGATTATCGGTACAAATAAAGACGCTCCTCCCAAGAAGGAAAGCAACGACTTTTCTGTTTGATTCGAATAGAGATCAGTGGCGTCATCTATCTATATCTGCCGTCACCGCAATATATGATTGGTTGCATTCAGTCAATGAAACCACCTTAAAAGCATTTTCTCCTAGACGTTACTGCAGAGAATTTATTTTTCAATATTGGTAATTCTGGTAATATTGGTAATATTGGTAATTTACAAAAATTATTTTTTAAATTTAGTACATAGTATTATATACACATAAAATAATAAAATTCAAAATATTGTGATAAAGTTTATTTTATATTACTCGCTTTCAGATTTTTTTATTTCAGATTATATTATCAAATCATAATATTAGGATATTTTTGTTTTATAATGTGTTACATATCATATGTTAATTGTTCTAAATTTTGCAACTTTTATTATATTTGTTACGAATACGTCTTGTTATATTGTTACACATGTTTCGTATCAAATACTATCGTATCCTTTTATGATACTAGATTTGAACGATGTATCAATATTCATATTCGAGAACATTCGTTCTTGTATACGTCGCTTTTAGCGACCTTTCTTATCGAATACTGCGACAGAAGCATCGTAATCAGTTGCACGTGGTTGCACGCACAGTTTCTACCACACAAAAGGCATACAATGGTTACGCAATTTGAAACTTGGCTGCAGAAACATTTTGCAAAGGATTCGAAGTTTAAAATAAAATGTAACCATTGCTCAAGAAGCATGTATTACATGGACAAATACGACTTCAAACGTCATATTCGACGCCATCATAGAAAAATTTACAATTCTGAAAAATTTGCACAAGATTCATGCTGGCGATATTTTATAAAAATAGACGACATATATGCAACATGTATAAAATGTAACAGTATTGTGCGGTATAAGATAAATACTAATTCTCCAACGATTAATCAAAGCTTAAGAAATCATTTATCCCAGCATTACGAAGAGCTGATGTACACAAATAACTTTGAATGGATATCGAAATATTTTAGAAAAAGTTATACAGTTAAGCATCTATTTGCTTTAGAATGCACTATTTGTTGCTATTTGCTATAATAGGTAATTTGCTTGATAAAATAGTAGACCACATAAAAATTTTCCATTTATTCACGGAGTAAAGATCATAGAAGTCCTGTTAAAAAAGTTAATTGAAGAAAAAGCGACAGTAAGTTTCATTAATATTCATATTTATATTATTTATCATTAATATTTAAAATATTTAAAAAATGTTTATCAGGAGACGCGGTAGTGTCTCCGGCCAAGTTCAAAAAACGACATTACTAAGTCAGAAAAAGAGTCTCTGGCAAAGTTCAGAAAATGACACTACATAAGGTCTGTTCTTTATAGCTGAACTGACTGCACTAGTTCAGAGTTTATCTTTCTCCTTTCAATATGGAGAGAAAAAGATAAACTCTGAACTAGTGCAGCCAGTTCAGCTATAAAGAACAGACCTTAAGTCTCTTATCCTGCGCGCACGAAGTCGACTTTTCGAGGGTTTGTAAGACAACTAAAAATATAAAAAATTTTATAAAAACACATAATATATCCTTAAAAGCGGCATCGCCACGACTAATTTGAGCCAAAAAAAATTAAAATTGGTCCAGCCGTTCCGGAGATACAAGCGGTCAAAAAGTGATGTTGGTAATGCAAAAATTAAGAAACGTCGTCTCCTTATTCTTCTCCTCTGTCCGCAGGGGCGGATGAAGAATTTACGGGGCCCAGGGTATTATCATTATCATTAAAATTTACGGGAATTTTTCGCACCAGGTGCCAAGGGTCGACGAATTCGATTTTTGGGAGTTGCACTACGGGAATTCCACGCACCAGGTCCCAAGGGTCGACGAATTCGACTACCCCGAGTTGCGCTACGGGAATTCCTCGCACCAGGTGCCAAGGATCGACGAATTCGACTTCCGCAAGTTGCGCAACGAAAATTTTTTGCACTAGGTGCCAAGAGTCGTCGAATTCGATTTCCTCGAGTTGCGCTACGAGAATTCCTCGCACCAGGTGTCAAGGGTCGATGAATTCGACTTTTGCGAGTTGCGCTACGGAAATTTTTCGCACTAGGTGCAAAGGGTCGACGAATTCGACTTCCCCGAGTTGCGCTACGGGAATTCCTCGCACCAAATGTCAAGGGTCGACGAATTCGATTTTCGGGAGCTGCGCTACGGGAATTCCTCGCACCAGATCCCAAGAGTTGACGAATTCGAGTACTCCGAGTTGCGCTACGTGCATTTCTTTCATCAGGTGCCAAGGGTCAATGAATTCGACTTCCCCAAGTTGCACTACAAAAATTTCACAAATATAAAAGAGAGAGACAGATATGACATATTTTGATATAAAATCTAAAATCTCTTAAAATATTTAGTTATCGATAATCTTACCGTAATATTTTTATGCGCAGAATAATAAAACGAATCAATACGTGTAAAAAAAACTCATTGTTATTTTAAAGAACAAGTATGTAATTTACAATGTACTTTTTTTAACAATTATCCGTCTTCCTTATACCACTTGATTCTCATTATTCTAATCATTAAAGTATTACGGTAAGATTATCTATAACTTAATATTTTCAGAGATATTCTAATTTAAATTTTATATCGAAATATGTCAGATCAAGATATAAAATAACTCGAAAAGTATTAAAAAGAACTTCTGCAAAGTATAAAAAAGAAAATTATATCCTTTAAGGGGATGCTGGAGTTATATACCAGCCGGACATTATATTTTTTCGAACAAGAATATCTTTTTATTGGTTGCATAGAATTGTAAATCCTTTTGCAGGAGTAAAGTGTACACAAAAACAAATTCGGGCTGCTAGACTTTATTTGAAAAAAAAAGATTAATAACAAAATTTGTTTCTATTCATTAATTTCTATTCTGCTCTTAGGATAACATATTGTATAGAGCTATCTCTTTTCGTTTTTTATAAAAGTTTAACAGTTTTAAGACGCTGAATAAGAGCAGCCCGAATTGCGGACTGCAGAATAGAATGTTATGGAACCATTAAAATTGGGCTGAAAAGTCTAATGTAAAAAATATTCTTGTCGACTATTTTTACATACGTGTGCGTCCAATATCGGTATAACAGATGAAAAAATAACAGAAGATTAGTTCCAGGATAATATCAGAGAGGCGCTATACAATAATATGCGAATATATACACGCAC